CCAAATTATTATGTCTTAATTAAAAATTTGCTTTTGCATCCACTGTATAAAGAAAAGAAGTGCCAAATATTTCATTTTATTTATATATATATATATATATATGGGTTTAGACTCCTATTGTTTGATGGTAAAAGGGACGAACATGATGAATGGCTCCAGATCCTAAGCCTTTCCTTTTTTGAAGAGAGCCTCAATTTTTCAAATGTGTTTATTGAAGAGATATGGGTAAGAGATTTGGATCGTTTTCAAGCCCATTAAATCCATTATGACCTGCCTCACCCGATTATCAATTAATATATTCAGGTCTTGTGTAACTTTAATTGATTAAATGAATTCAATAAATAATATTCTTGAATTATGCCCTCTAAATCAGAAATAGTGTGGTAGGGTAGTGGTGAAGATACTTATACCAATTGCTACGTATAAAGTATGGATACATTTACTACTTTTTCTAAAGTGCTTAAATATATTACAAGCTACCCACACGACACTGCAATTGTGCATCAAGAATATTTTCATACTTTATCCTGTCGTTTATGAAGAGATGTTCTTAATATACGGCTATAGTTTTGTGGGTAGTAGATGTGTAGCCATTTGTAAACGTATAATGCTGCATTTCTGGTAGAAAATATAAAATAAGAGGTGATATTAATTTCCTTATATTTCCAGTTTTCTAGATTTTGCAGTTGGAGAATTAAATAGAATGAGAGTGATTGACACAACCAAATATTTGATAGATAGGACATATTCATGTTAACTGAAAAGACCTAGGATTCCTGGATGAAGCGTTTCTCATTGAGGGGACAGTTTTGTCAATTACTAAAGCTAGAGAAAATTCTGTACATAACAAAATATTCAAACTTGTACAACTTGCAAATGGTGCTGAGGTGTAGTGGTTATCACGTTAGTCTTATACACAAAAGGTCCCAGTTCGAGCGTGGGCAGCATCATTCAAATATATCTTTCTTCATACTTTATATCGATTAAAGTTCCAAAAAATTATTGCTTTTTTTAAGGGTAAAATTCTTAAACCTCCTTTCAAGTTTTCGTAGCTGAAACCTCTTGAAATATGATAATTGCAATTATCTCCCTTGAACTTTAATCTTTTAAAAAAAGGCATTAAAATATCCAAAATACATATGCAATTATTAAGGCTGGATTAATTATACAGAAAAATAATATAAATTTTATAAATAATAAAAAAATAGAGAATTTAAAGTTGCAGCTTTGTCTTTGAACGATTGATTTGAGGCTGGATTAATTGTACAGAAAAATAATATAAATTTTATAAATAATAAAAAAATAGAGAATTTAAAGTTGGAGCTTTGCCTTTGAATGATTGATATGAAGGGATAATTTGGGAAAATAAATCAATTTCAAAAAACAAATTGGAAGGATTTGAGCTAACTATTCATATGAGATGAAAATTTAGAAGATAAACATTTTAGTCAAAACTAACTGAATAGGTATTTTGGACATTTTCATGCCTCTGTAGAAGATTTTAAAAGAGGAAATATACATGCAACTATTTCAGAAAGTCCAAGGGTGGTGACTGTAATTACCAAACTTTATAGAAAATTTCAGCTAACAACCAGATATTTTATGGGAGGTTTTAGCAATTTATCGTTTTATAATCAAGATTTGTTCCTCAGACTCAGTTTGGAAGAAGTACAAATACGAAATTGTAAAGTGCAAAACTTTACATTTTCTATTATTTTGTATGTATTTATACTGTACCAATGGACAGCCAAGACGCATTGTGAGGAGCGAGGCTCCCTTTTTATTTGGAGAAATCAATGAGAAAAATAAATTATGAATATATAATAATAACTAATTATTTAATTCTTAATTTTTTAAATATCAAATAAAAAATATTTTTTATATATAATTTTTTTATTTTTATAAAACATCTTTTCTCAAGTTGAGCTCGAATTGAACTGAGCTCGAGCTTATGAGTTTTTGACCAGAACCAGGCTCAAGCTCAAGGTTTTAGCTCGAACCGAGCTCGAGCCCTGTACTACCTTAACAAGCCGAGCTCAAACCTCATACTATTTGGCTCGGCTCAGCTCGTATCCACCCCTATTTTGAGGCCTATTACTTGGTGTTCACAGCCAAATTTCCTTACACTTGTACCGGATGATATCAATTTCAATGATTTTGCCATTGGACTTTAGAAAACGAAAATATTTCACTCTATATTCACTATTTGTGCCTTTTGTACCTTTTCATTTACATCAAAACAAATCTAGAGTGAAAACCCAAGTTTCCACAATAAAAGGGGACCGAAATTGCTATTGAAATATCGTAATTTAAAAAACTAAAATAAATGGCAGAGTATAAAAAAGGGAAAATGACTAATCAGTCCATTTATAACTCTTACCATATAGAAGATGAATCCTGATGCCAAATTCACATACAGAATAAGATTTATAGAGGGGCTATAATAGACTATGGGGACTGTCATTTAGAATTCTGCGTTGGGTTATAGGGTAATTAACCCAATAAAAAAATTGAAATTACTTTAGAGCATGGAATCGCTGTTTGTTGTGAAATTTAAAATTGGATATAATATATATAGTTCCGTTCCGCACTAGTTAGAATCCAAAGTCCAAACACGTCTTAAATGTGTAGTGTGATGTTGCCCTTCTTTCTTTTGAAATAAAGCACACCATAACCATGCATTCATAATTGGTCGTACAATAACATCAATCATGTTCGAATCTGCCGCTAATTCCAGTACATCCCTCTCTTCCCTTTTGTTATTTATTAATTTATATATACATATTAAGATAACCCATATTAGCATAAACTTGTCCAAATTAATTAAACTCAGAATTCATGTTTAGCTAAAAACAAAAGCCCTCCACTTGTGCCACTAGTGTAACACTTGCACTTGCTGGATCTCTCCACAATTCATACAACAGTTTGGACCCCACCCAACTACACCTTCACAAAATGAAAAAACAAAAACACAAAAGATTAAACAACTCAATTCAACTCTACGAAATCCTATTTATTAATTTTATCAATGTCAACCGTTCAATTTGTAGGGCCCAACGACCTCATTATTCTAATTCAATAATTTATAACCAACGACAAAGTTGGATTTTTTTTTTTTTAATTTTCTTTTGAACGGTCTAGAAACAATGATATGATATTTGGTGCTGAAGATATCCCCGATGTCTGTATGTCGTGTGCGATCGCTTTTGTGGCTGGTCTTTAAATCTTTGTCGATACTTGCCTTGGACCTTGGTTTCACATCAAGGCAACCAACCACCTGAATGATATATATTCTCTCTTCCATGATTCCTCATTTCTCTCCTCCCACAGCTTCCGCTCATGATTCAACTAATTCCAAAAGGAATTTACGTCCCAAACAAAGACAGAATAATTACTCAATATTGTATTGTTGTTAGATAGCTAAGCCACAAGGCACGTGCGATACACGTGCTCGGAAACCTTCTCGTCTCCAGGACAGGCTTTTTTGATATTAGATTTATTCAAAGGGGGTTCGTGCATTAGGTGATTTAAAATGTGGTGCTGCCCACTGGGACGTTGATTTGAAGCGCCACCCCATCATGTTATATCAAGGAATATTTCTTAGTGGGATCATTAATCATACAATAATTTAAACCTTTGCATATGTCAAGAAGTCTTTTTTTTTTCCCTTTCTTCATATTCTCAATCGCTCAAGTTGCAGTTCAGAAAGAAAACTTTGAGCCCATTTGGGAGGATTTTCATATAGTGATTTTTTACGTTGTATGAGCCAAGAAACTTAATAAAACTCATTTGGATAAAAATCTAATTAAAACTAAAAATATGGGTTTAAAAATCGAATTCCCAATGTTGAGTCAGGCTTTGTTTATGTATCAACAGAATACATTCAGGCTTGAACCCAACTCTGACCCTCATACGAAGACTGGGCTCAAGCCTGAGTCTGAGTTTGGTCAGAAATTTGAAAACAGATTTTTTCTTTTTTATTCAATAAAAATGTTTTATTTATATTAAAAGCCCTCAAAAATAAAAAATAATAAAAGATCTCACTATTACTTGAAAGAAGAAAAGAGAAACAAAAAAAAATACTATATATATATATATTTTTTTTTTATTAAATAAAATATTTTTATTATATAATATTATTATCAAATCAGACTCAAGCTCGGACCGGACATTTTTGAAAAAAACCCTCCAACCCAAAGAAAACGGTCGGGCCTAGTGTTTTAGGCCCAAGCCCAAACTCGCAAACCTAAAAGAATGTCCAACTCCAACTTAAAACGGGCCGGGCCGGCTGGGCCAACCCATGTACAGGTATATTCCCAATAAAGCTATCGTAGGTAATTCTCCGAAGCAAATATAGCTCAACCATCACATAAACACTCATAAATGGGCTTTTTATATACAAAGTCTAAATATCAATTGATTTATAGTCCAATTAAATACCTAAATTAACCCCACACCTTTATATTTTATTTAACTTAATTAGGATTAATATGGTACAATGGACTGAAAAACCTAAACTTTAACTTCATGCTTTTTTTTAGATTTCAGCAGGGTCAATTTACTCCATTTTTCCCCACTCAAATATTCATAGCTCCGCACTGTACTATATAATAAGAACCGGACCAAAAGTGTGTAGGTCCAGGCCCATCAAATAGTCTAGTTCACTTGCGCCGGAAGTCAGTGATGGGTTTACTTCTCAAGACTCATTTCTGGACCACCTCCCCTCCTCGTTGACCTTCTCTCTGACGTGGCGTCGCTCGTCCCGTTCAGTTTGGCTACAGATCTAAAGTCAAGCCAGAGCCTCTCCAAACTCTCAACCAAAATGTAGATTCCCTACACATCCGGTACCACGTGCCAAGATATAGACGACCCAGATGTTCCTGTCCTCCGACCCATCAAACGACAATTCATCCATCCACGAAGCGCATTCTTATCGACAAATAAACGATCATAAGTGGTCCACGTGTCACAAATGATACGATATTAGACCTAATATCCAACGGACCCAGTGCTCTCTAGTCGCTACCCCCAAAAACCTCTCCCGCAGAAAAGATCCAGTTCCACTCCGACGTCTCGCTGTCCTTTCCGCCTCCGAGAGCCAACGAAATCTCACCGTCGCTTCGAATTCTTTTCAGTCCTACCACCACAATGCCTAGCTTTATCATTTGGTTTTGAAGTCTGCTAGAATTCTCATCTGGAACTGTTATTTACTTTACCAGTGAAATTCACTCCTGTCTTCTTATTCTCTTTGTTTCATTTTAACTCTGTAGAAGTGGAACTACTTTTGGTTTCAATCATAATTGTGGTTCGTTTTTCTGAGTTGTGCAAATTCTTATCTAGCTTGTCTCGCTTTGCACCATTCGTCCTTGGGCTTACTATCTGTGTTTTCCACGGAAGAAACAATTGTTTCTTGAATTTGATTCCTTTCTCCTCTCGTTTTTGTAATTTTGTTTGTCATCGTGACGGTCTGAGGGATAATAGAAAAAAAAAGTCGATTTCGTTCCTTTGCAAACTTGTGTTATAAAAGTGGGCACAGCGTTCTAAGTTCTTGTTCTGATCTCTTCGGTCGGAGGTCATGGCCGATTCCGACAACGAATCCGGCGGTCAGTACAACAACGCGAACAGTGAGATGTCGCCGCGGGAGCAGGACCGCTTCTTGCCCATCGCTAACGTGAGCCGGATAATGAAGAAAGCACTTCCTGCGAACGCCAAGATTTCAAAAGATGCGAAGGAGACAGTGCAGGAGTGCGTATCGGAGTTTATTAGCTTCATCACTGGGGAAGCGTCCGATAAGTGCCAGAGAGAGAAGCGTAAGACGATCAACGGTGATGATCTGCTCTGGGCCATGACAACTTTAGGATTCGAGGAGTACGTGGAGCCCTTGAAGATATATTTGCAGAAGTTCCGAGAGATGGAGGGTGAGAGGAGCTCCATGGGACGGCAGGGGGAGAAGGACGGGTCAGGAGGCGGGGGATCGGCCGGGGGAGGCAATGGTGGTGTTGTGAACCCTGGGAGCGGGAGCAGCAGCGGCGGTTTCAACGGAGGTGGGATGTATGGCGGAGTGCAATCAGCGATGATGATGATGGGGCATCATCAAGGACAGGTGTACGGCTCCGGTTCGTATCACCAAATGGCTGTGGCTGGCGGTGCTCCTGTGAAAACTAGTTCAGGCAGTGGATCTTTGGCGGGGAGGTCAAGGTAGGTAGATCATACATGTTTCAAGAAAAAGGTATGATGATGATAGACGATGAATGAATGGACTTATGGCGATGATGATGATCATCATCATCATTATGATATACCATGAATTGAATGAATGAACTTATATGATGATGATGATGATGTTAGTGTGGATGATTGTATAGTACTCTTTCTCTACTTCCAAATTTCCACTTATCTTTGCTTTGATTGTTTCTTTTGTCCTCATGAATTATTTTACAAATGTTAATTTCGAGTGGAGAATTTCGTAATTTAATTAAGGTTAGTTTGGGGAGGAGTGTTAAATACAAATATGAACAATTGTACACACAGTGCAGAAATAAAGAACAAGGATATTTAGCTTATACCTACCTATCATATAATTAAGAAGGGAAGAATCAATCACTGAATTAAATACTCAATAAGCGCTATACTGTGTACATCACTAATTAGCTAGCCCTTCTTCATCACCTGTGGTGGTATGCTCAAATACTTAATGAGCGCGCCCTCTCATTGAATCAACTCTAGAAAAGAAAGAAAGAAAGAGCTAATCCTGACCTGATGGTTGGTTTCAGGGCGGAAAAGAAGAGAGTGAAATAAAGGAAATAAAGATAGAGAGGCAGGGATTGGGTGAGCGTGGCGTGGGCCGTGGGGCACGGTGGACCGGTAGTGTCGGTCGGTGGACACACCGTCGACGTCGAGTCAAAATATTGCAATGACCAGAACTGTAATGGCAACTGTCACTCATTATTGAAGTGGTTATAACCCAACTAATAATAACGGGGTGATAGCAATTACTGCCAGCCAATATGCCATGCATGAAACTAAACAATGACTGCCGTAAAAGGTATAAATAACGGTCTCCTCCCTTTTAGGGTACAACTGTGTTTAGTGTGGTACAATTGCTGTTATGATCACACCACCCTGACAACGATTTTAATGTATAGGATTCTTCTGATATTCTCCTCTCAACTCTCGATCTTCTGCAAATTAACAGCATTTTACAAACCCAATCAAAAACAATCACCTACGTACGTCAGTTGCTGATATCTTTGACGTTAGATTGGGTGATAGATAGCACATCGAATGGTAAAGGTAGATGATTTCCTCCCACGTGTCCAGGTGGTCTTTACACGGTCTAAACATGGCAGCTTTTACACCGGCTGACACCTGACACAATTGGAATTGGGTAGATAATGTTAGGGTAAAGGACCTAAACTTATCTTCAAGTTTTTGAAAAGGACTTAAAGATACTTTATGAGGGGGCTGGAATTCAGAATTCTGCATCGTGTGTTTCCGTATTTTTCCCAAGTTAAAAGCACTACTGCAGTGCTACGCTCTCCCTATCCTCCCGCCACTCCACTCCTATGTCGATCCCTGCCAATCCATGGTAATAAGGTGGCTACTTTCAGGGGGTGGTAAATGGGTCGATTGGGTTGGGTCAATTCATTCGTATTAACCCACTAATCCACTTTGACTTTGATCCACCTTAATCTAGTCATTTGACCTTTTAATTCAATTTTTCAAATTGGATATAAATATTTTTTTTAATTTTTTATATTTTAATTGCATAAAAATATACAATTATACATTTCAACTACAAAAACATAAAAATTCAATTTTTACAAATAAAAAAATTACGAAAATAGAAGAAATTACAAAAAAATAGAAGATTGTAATTTCAGGTAAAAATAGAAGAAATTACAAAAAAAAAATGATGACAATTTTTATATATATTTCAACCAAAGATTAGAATAAAAGAAAAATTACAGAAAATAATTATATAAAATGATAAAATAATAATCATCCGATTCTCATTATATATTTCAACAAAAATGATTTATCAAAAAAACCAAAAAATATATAAAATATACAAAAATGATAAAAAAGTGGCTGCGACGGTGCCTCCTAGATCAGATGGGCTCATCACACTCGTTGGTATCATCTTGCTCAGCCCTATTTCTTCTCCTTCCTTTGTTCAATTGTTGGTATCATCTTTCTCGCCCCTTATTTCTCCTTCCTCCGTTCAATCGTCGGTGTCAACCTTCTCTTCTGTACCTTCATCAACATCAGTATATTGGAATTGGAACAAGGAAACATCAATGTTGTTGATTCAAAGCTCAAGGAAAAGGAACGTTGACAGTAAGCTTGAAACAACATTTCAAAACCTTCATTTTGCTACTAGTTTAAGATCATGGTGCAATGATTCAACGGATCGACATCATTGCTAGTGGAGGCGAGAATGGTAGCAGCGATTTAACTGAGAAACAACACATTGAGAAAGAAACAACGGCTTGAATGAGCCCTAAATAGTGAGAACGATGGTGGTGGAGTGATCGTTGGTGGTTTTGCAAAGTCCTAAACAGAGAAGAAGAAATTCCTAACTAAGAAGAAGAAAGAAGAAAAAAACCCTAACTGATAAACATGAAGAAGAAAATTGTCGAAGCAAGAAAACTTTAAGTCTATAAGTCAAGGGTCAATGGGTAACCCTCGACCCAACCCCACCCTGACCCTAATGGGTCACTCGACCCATATTGACCCATCATTAGAATGGGTGGGTTGGGGTCAGAATTGCCAGTCCTAGCTACTTTGGAACTAGTTACCACTAAGAGACAATGTATCAATTCTTTTTCGTTGGAAAAAACGGTGTGCAACATCCTCTGATTCCAACAAACTATCCCAAAAGATCGTGGTGATAGCTACCGGAGAAGGTCATGCCCTGACCATTCTGATAGGTATTCAAAATTTCAAGTTTTGTTTAATAATGATTTTGAGTGTCTAGGATTTTGGCATTACATGAGATGGTTGTGTATATTCATGGGGAAGAGAAGCTTGGACTGTGAAACTGATGAGATATATGCAATTCAAGTCAACTTTGATTTATATATGCAAGGAAAAGGAGGTCAAATTTCATAAATCAAACAAAATTGTTATCCTACCTCTAGAGCTTATACTTGTGTTCTCTTATTATCCACATAATTTCCATTGATTGTCAGCCTTCGATCTTAACATTGTAGTAAACTTCTTTAACTATTCTCAAGTCGTATTTGATTGAAGTGAATTTATAGGTCTATGGGTTGGATAACAGGTTATTCACTGGGATGATAGTCATTAAAGAGAGAGGCTCAAGGGTCAGTAGTTGGGTAATAGATGGGGGCGGTAGTCCATGTCGGAGATGGTTTGTTGCACATGAATGGAGTTGCAGTTTTGGCATCCAAAGAAATATGGAGGAAAGAAGGACCTTCAATGATGGACTTGTTGTTAATGGTGAGTTTTGATAAGAAATTAGTGAAATAATAAGAAAACAGTGACAAATGAGCTCCCCGACAAACATGGGGTAATGAAAATATTGAAGAAGACACCAAACTCTCATATGTTAAAAGGATAAATAGGATTTCAAAAATTTCAAATGAATTCACACATGACATTTCTATGATGGAGGATATGTTTTGTGGTAGTCATTTTGAAAAACTTTTACACTTAATATTATTATATTATATTGATACTATATATACTTTTATTATAAAAATATATACCAGTTGGAATTCTGCAACATTAACTAAACTTGGCCTTTGAAGTTGTTACCAAGGTTTTTAAAACCGAATTGGACAACGAACTGGTTAGGGTCCGGTTCGTGGGTCGAACGGTCCAACCATTCGAATTGAACATATAGTCTGTTCTGACAAAAAAAAATGGCCAAACCATTGGATGGTTCGAACAGTTCAATCGCCCGGGTCAACGGTTTGCTAACCAAATCAATGGTTTTTGGCGAAATAACGGTTCTAGGGTAAAATGGAATTGGTTACCTAACTAGTTACCAGTTTTTCTGGTCTGATTTTGAAAACCATGGTTGTTACTAATTGAAAATATAGAGGTATTTCATACAACCGTAAGAGATGTATATTCTTTGAGTAGAGCCATGATTGAAGTTGAATTCTTTTCTTTAGGGGACTGAGGGGGTAAGTATTAGGGGTGAGCAAATGGGTAGGTTCTACCTAGAACCGAATGGAACTAACCTTGAACTGGCCCTGAACGACCCTATCCGATCTGTTATAGGGTAGAGTCTAGTTCCAAATTCTTGGAATCGATCCCTACCCAGGCCGGTTCCATGGTCTAGGGGTTTACCCTACCCGAACCGGTCCTATGAGCTGGCCTTGTTTGACCTTACTAGAAACTTCCTTGGAACCAAACTTGCCTTGAAATAAACCCCAGAATATCTTTGGGGATGTGAAGATTTGAACCAATGCACTCACAATTACAAAGGCCATAGTCTCATTGGACCATTTAGTTACATTAAGTGTGATGAGGGGTAATTTGGCACAACCTAGTAAATTAAGGTCACGTAGACACGATCTGCCTGTAGAATGACAACTCAGCAAGGGGAGCCTAGTCAGTAGTATGCAGAGTTCGGACGTTTGGCCACCTTGGCATAAAGTCACCTTGGCATAACGCCACCTCGGCGCCTAATCGAGTTTGGGGCCTAGGAACTAAAGTGACATGTAATCAATTCCAATAGCTTTCCAGCAGACTCTGAATATTACGGGATCACCCCGTATAACGATAAGCCTTATCTTCTCCCCGCCCGGATCAGGCAGCGACAATAAGGATCATTGACTGATACGTTACTCCCCGACTAAAGTGAAAACGGATCTCATCCATTCAGGCCGTAGATCTTGGAACTGTTTCGGGAAACCCACAATGGCTCAGCTATATAAAGTTATCAATCCCTCCATGGTTCAGGTACGCACGATTACTTGCATCCAACCTCTCTAGCACTCAAATTCTAGCTCACAACCACAACAGAATACTGACTTAAGTATCGAAGCGACCTCCCCGGTCATCCACTCCGGTCACTCTGATCTCTGTTTTGTAGTTTGCTCTAACTCATCACCTGAGTACGTCTAGATAACCCTCCAGTCAGGAGCTTCCAGATCGCGCATCATCAATTGGTGCCATTTGCGGGAAAAGATCGAAAGGTCATCCCAATTTTTTACAGTCTCAAACTCAGTGTCAAACTCAATCTCAACCTCAATGGCATCATCCATGCACAATGGTAAGGGTAACATGAACATCACTTGGGGGCAAGAGCAGTAGATAATCGCTCCCCAAGGACCCTCGGTGACAATTGACCAGTTTACCATTCCTTTGACCACATCCAGGGTCCCATCACTGTCCGCGCCCCACACTACCCAATAGGTGAGTGTCCCACTCCCCCAAGTGAGTGCCACATTCTAGGAGCCTTTCATAATTCCCCTTGGGATCGAGCATACCC